TCTCTCAGCCTCTCTTCTGCACGCACATACTGTACAAACACATCCCTGTCGCTAAAACAGCACGCTTTTATAAAGAGGTGCTTATTGATTGCTTAATGTTGAGGTCAATAAGCAGCAAATGAAAGAACTTTGAACAAGGCTGGACAAAGGGAGAAGCAGTGAAGTGCCAGACCAGAGTGACTGGGGAGAGGGGTGGTGGTCACATTTGTCTAATAACACATTATTTTGTCAAAACTGCCTGGCGGAACGCTGACATTTTTACTGATGTAAAAGTAGTGGTGAATTCTAGACAGTAATGTAAAAGTGGTCAAATCAAGACACATGGAAATACAGGGTAAGGAAACGGATATGATAAGGGGGTGTATTTGACCCTGTTACACCAGTGTGCCAATTAGATAAAGGAACAAGGCAGTCTTGTTGAAACGTGATTTTCCCGGCTGCTCCAAAGAGATCAGGATAGCATTTTTTCTGTCTCTGTCTCTGTATCCCTGTGACTGAAATACAAGAGTTCAGATTAATTCAGCAGTAGTGGATTTATACAGTCACATTTTTTTTCAACAAAGTAGCTTTACGATGAAAATAACACAGAAAGACTTGTGTGTTAGAACACCCAGTTTGTCTGGTGAGTAATATTCACTGAATGCCACTGGCTTATTTCCAGCTTCAAAAATAAAGAAGTTGAATATTTGATTTTTTTTAAAAAAAAAATGCATGCATGGCTCATTTGTTGCTACTCCAGATGTTATTATGCCTGCACGCTTCCATTAAATAGATTAAATTTGTGTCTTCCTTTCCTTTGTCAGTAGAGCCTGTTGGCACAAGGAGTGGTATTCAGTCAAATAGTCTGCCACTTCAGTAGAAACCAGATTAGTTTGTTGACACCTTTGTGGTGTTTTAAACACAGAGAAGCACACTTTAGCATATACAGTATATTCATTTAGTAAGATTAACCTCACAGCTACTAGAGTTAGAAGATAATGTGTAATGATTACATAACCATAATTACTCTTTAGAAGGAACGGTATTTTGGAAAAAAAATTCCTGTGAGAAAAGTCAGCGTTTTGTATAATGAGTTAAAATATGTTAAACAGATAAAGCAAAAATTGTGCGAAAGTGTACACATTCCTCTTCAATACTAGTCCTTCAGGACTTCTCTTAAAGCATCACCTTCTTTAGACCTTCAAAGTGCGTTAACTTGTTTCGGTTAAGAAATGATCAACTTAATTACCTAATTATGAGAACAGAAGCACATACAATTCTGTTTTCCCTAAGGACTGGCATTACAGAGCAGAGTCCTACTTTGCAATTACTAAAAAAACTTCGGAGGTACTTTAGCATAACGAGCTGATAAAAAAGATAGGGACCTGCAGGGTTTTCTTTTTCATTCAGCCAGCAGAGTCTGTACCAAGGACGGGTGGCTGCAGTCCTCCAGGGCTGACTTCCTGCTGCTTTTCCAGATGTTTTTCACTTAGCAGCTTATTCACTGATTCACTTTTTATTCCAAAGATTAATTAGACCAGTTAAGTTCATTTTGAGTGGAGGTGGAATGCAAATGAGAGTTTCCTCAGGATCCTCAAAGACTTCAGGTGGCTTTCCATTATGTATACCAATAACACAGATGAACTCTCTCATGTATATGGATTTTATGTAACTTTATTGGACTTTTCAGACGGGATCGGGGAAAATACTCCCCAGTATACAGGCAATGACCTAAAGCCTGTATCTGTATGTCTTCCAAAGGCAGCTTTACAGCTTTATAGGTGTAGCAGTGTATGCATGTTCAAGGCTATGACCATGACTTGGTCATGCAGCAGAAATCTTCTGCATTCCTTCACTCAATTGGTGCCGGATGTTACTAAAGTTCACCCCGATGACACTCAGTCCTGTGCCGTTGCTTGGGAAATACCTGTCATTGCTCATGATAGAAGCATTACTGCCTTGCAGCACTGGGGCCCTGGGATCAATTTTGGACTCATCTGCATGGAGTTTGTATATCCTCCCCATGTTCGCTTGGGTTTCCTCCGCTTTCCTCCCACAGTCCAAAGACATACTGGCAGGTTAATTGACTTCTGGGAAACTTGTTTCTGGTGTGTTTGTGTCTGCGTGTGTGCCCTGGTATGGAGTGGCATCCTGTCCAGGGTGTGCCCTGCCTTGTGCTTGCTGCTTGCTGTGATAGGCTCTGGCTACCCCTGAATTGGATAAAGTGGTTAGAAAACTTATGGGTGGACGCCAACAATAGAGCCCAGACCCAGATCTGCAACATCTAGACTTGAAACTTGAGAACTTCACACTGTGAGTCCCACAGCGCCGAGAGGAAAGCTGGCATCCGTCGGAGGATTGACGCATCGCTCCCTGACATCTCCGCAAACTCACGAGTGACCACTGGGTGTCACTGTTCTGCGGCAAGCTGGAAATTCTCCTGTTGACTGCAAAGCAGCTAACTCTGGCGGCATATTTCTGCGCGTGTGCTCCACTGTTTGGGAAATTTGACACAACTGGCTAACGGCGGACACAGACTCGGTGGGGAATGCAGGACTGAAAGAGCTTTCTTTCTGGCTGAACTAACCTGGAGGCCTTTCCTCTCATTCCTTTTGTTGATGTTTTTTACTTTGTTGGAGGATGGTGAGGAATACATTTTCTAGTACCCACACAATTTATTTGACAAGAGAAGAGTGCACAGAGACCTTGTGGGGCTCAAGTGTAGTTGATGGTGGTTGTATTTCAGAAGACAACGAATAAAAGCACAGTTTCAGAGCAGTATCAACAAAGAGGTAATTGGCCTGAAAGCTTCTGAGATCCACTTCAATTACGGTTTTGTAGTGTTGCAATAATGGACAATGCAGTAGCGCTTGGTGAGCGCTAACTGTTGCTTATAGGAACGAAGCCTTGGGCTGTTCTTTGTTGCTGTGAGTTGTGGCAGTGAAACACAAATCAGCACAGCTGCTCTGGGATTACCTTTCACTACAGGCTGAGCCACAGCCACTAGCACCACTGGCGGATCCCACTTGCATGAAGTGAGGAGCAGTTAAAGAGATGGTGAGGGAATCTGACAAGGTAATCGCATTACATCTGCAACCTCTGGCGGGTGTATTAAATAAAGGCTGGAGCTATGCAGTTTGCTTTAGTGGAGAGAGCAAATTGGATGAGGAGAGGCTTGCTTTTAAAACAGTCCTTTAAGATGTTCAATGTCCAAAAAGAGGGAAACACAATGTAACTAAGGTCAAAATCCCACATTTTTGTTTATGTTAAAAAAGCAATTCTATGGCACATCAATACAGCTACAGCTATGTACAAAATAGTCAGTAATACTTTTAAAATGTATTGAATGTATTTTTACTACAGTAAAACACCTCAGACACCATCCTCTGACTCCATTTCTCTCTGTGACTTTCTGTACATGTGCAGGCAGGTAGTCTGGGTGCTCTGCTCCTGCTAGCTAGATTAAAAACCCAAGTGTTGACCCTTTGTTTTGCATAATACTATTTTTATAAGTAACATAACGCTCTTATTGATTAGTTGATTGGAAACACCATTAACATATCAGAGAAATATCAGAGCAGTCTTTTCGAGTATTTACCTGTCATTCATTTTAATTTGTTTGTTTGGGATTAAGATTTTTGCCTTTTCTGATCTCTTGATTTGTAATAGCTACCTGATGATCAGTTTGGCTCATCTGTAGAGACTCTGCAGCGGCAGGCAGTGGATAAGTATTGCTAACTCTCTCCTGTGACTCAGTGGTTGCAGTTGCTGAGTCACTAGTTTTACAAGCTGTGACTTCCAGGAGAGTCAGCACTGACTGGAGGAGCAATGTGTGGGTTCCCGGCATGCTCTAGGCTTCACGACAGTGAGTGATGCCTAAGATAACTTGGCCAATTTATGCCCAGCTAGCAACAAGCCCCAAGTGCCTCTAGGTTCAGGATGGCCTGGTCACAAAAATGTGTATTTTGGATGTGTATGATGTAATCCAGGCCAATAACTATGCCATGAATTTGGTCAGTTTAAGAAACCTCATTTTTAAGTACTTCTGTCCAGTCGTTTAGTCACAAAAGGGAGTTTACAGTCTTCGTTTACAGTCTTATAAAAACAAAGATACCCAAAAGAAGGTGTGACTGTGCAAGGAGTCTAGCAGGTGTCCGCAGTTGCCTACTAAAATCCTTAATCCGTTCACTTTAGTAGTTATAGGCACATATGTACATACTGTATACATTGGTTGTCCCAGTTTTAATTAAAATGGGATATGTGCTGACTAACTTCTCAACACCAACTTTACAGTCGGGCAGAGGCTGCCTGTTCACTTCTGGGGTCTGTACTGACACTTGGGTCTGTATACTGGCTGCTAACCAGACTCTGAGCTTCATGAGCAGCTTAAAAAAATCCCAAGAACAATAAGGAATTTTTATCCCCGGTGATGTGAGCTACAGTGGAGTGCCTGTGCAGAATCTTGTAAAATGCCGAACCCCAGTCTAAGCGCTAGTAATGGGGTTTACTGTGCCAGCACCCGACACCACTCTACCCCACAGCTAGTGAAGAAAACAAAGTACCAAATCTTGTGTTGCATTGAATTGCCTTGCATTTGCATTTGATGAGGTATCATTATGAGATGACATCGTAACGGTGATCTCTTCCAATCCTTTTGACAGGCTGTGCTTACTGTACTATAACTGCCCGTGGAGTTATTCACCCCAGTTCGGTGCACTCTCTCACTTATGCCAGCAGCAAGAGAAGTGTGAGCCCGCACGCTTAAAGCAGCCTTGATAAGAAAGACAGAAATGTATGCAACTAGCAAAACCCCACTTACCACATGCGCTTACATGATACTGTATATTCCTCGTGTATGACCTCATGCATCATTCGGATGCCGAACGTTATAGTGACTAATTATCCGTGTGATTCAAAGTGAATTATCTTGTGGTGTATATCTTGCTTCACCATTTTTTATGGGTGTCCTGCAATTTGGGAATTTGTGTTTTTTACTCTGTCCTCCCCATTTTTTTTTTCAGGTAGCGGCCCTGGAAAGACAGATTTTTGATTTCCTGGGCTACCAGTGGGCGCCGATATTGGCTAACTTCCTCCACATCATGGCGGTCATTCTGGGCATCTTTGGCACCATGCAGTACAGATCTCGTTACCTCATCCTGGTGGGTATCTAAATGAATGCATTAGCTGTGGGTTTTGAAGGAGGTAGACTGGAGCATTGACAGTAGCTGTTGCTTAGTCACTTAGAATAGGGTCACTATTCTACAAGGCGGCTCAGAAAGTCACTCCGATTGACAAATACTGAGTCAGTGTCTTGAGTTACTCAGGGTGACATGAGCACAAAATCTACCTTTAAGGGAAACATTATCTTAAATTCTGAGAATTTTAGCTTCCTTTAGTACAGAATATCTCAGCCTCTTCAGTGGACATTTGAGCACAAATGTTACATATTTTGAAATTGCTTTTTAATTAATCTGCTTCTCTGATAAAGAAATCTGCATTTACACAGGCACCTGCACTCTAGATCAAATCATGTCAAAATGACATAAGCCTCCATATTAAACTAACTCAATATCAGGGGTATCAAACTCATTTTTTTATTGTAGTACATATTTGATTTAAACGTATTTCAAGTGGACCATACACATCATCAAAAATAAAAAAAAACAGAATAGAATTATTTATTTGGGTTGTTTTGCATTTTGTTTTGTTTTTTTACCACATCATAACTCCCTTTAAAATGTGATAAGCTGTCTTCTTGTCCTCTCTAAATGGCAATTTAGCAAAACATGTTCATCGCCTTTAGAGTATGGGATGTTTTTTTGCTTAATTAGCCATAATTTTTAAAATAGAATAATTTGTTTTATTGTACACTACATAAATCTGTGCTCTGTTGAAAAGAGTATTGTCAGGACATGTTGTTCTATAGCTGGTGAAAATAAATGAGTAGCTATATACATCCACCCCTCACCAACAATTAATTAACATGTGTTTTTTTAACAATGTGTGTATTTCAATATCTGTTTTTTTGCCGTTCAAAGCCGTTTTTGCACAAATGAAGGCTGTATCCTTCGTACTTGCTTCCCTTGAGATCTTACGTAATGATTTTATAATTTTTTTATTTATAATCTTTTTAAAACCAGTGCTTCTGGTGTTATCCAAGCAAAAAAAAAAGGAAAGCATTCCCCAGACTGTAAAACTTGAAGTGATAGAAATATTTAAAAAAGACAAGCAGTTGGAAGATATTTGCATTGCCTGGAATTTAGCTATGCTGTGCATATGTTCAACAATTTACAGTTTTTAAATATTTTGTCATGTTGATTATTGTACTATGTTAAATTAGTTAATTATTATATTCAAAAGCTCTACTGTTCTCTGTCAGTAGAGAGCTTGTAACAATGGGCAATGTTGCTCAAGTTGCTAATCCACAGAAATTAGTCATACATTTTTACATGCAAATTAATGTAAATTTATTTTTTATGGGAAATACAAATCGTTTTTGAGAAACAAGTTACTTTGCTAACCAAGGTATGGGTATATATGTATATCAGCTGGTAAACTGCAAGACTGAAACTCTCAAGAACAAGTTAAAGTGAGATATCATGACAAAAATAAACACTGAAAATTCTGAATATTATTTGCTAGATACAGTAGTAGCAAAAAAGAAAATTAACTTCATTGCTATTGCTCTTTGGCAACAGCCAAGTGTAAATGGGTCCAAAATCTTCCACTTTTATCTTAGACAGATGTCCTTGACTCTTTCTGTTATTGTCCTGTTTGCATTGTTTCATTTGTAATGGAAAGTCTGCCCTTGTGATTTGGTCACATTTGGCATCTGCACGAAAAGCTAACGTCAAAGAAAAGAGAAATCTTGACAACGAAACTCCTTTCAATCCTGGTAGCTTTAAGCTTGTCACCTGAAAAAAGATTGTTTTATTTTCGACTAGACATATGTCTCTTGTGATGGATTTTCCTGGAACAGTAAGCAGACAAATCTTCACAGGCTCACTGAGTAAAGTCTGAGTCTTCCTCCTCTGAAGAGATTCTAAATTAAAGAGAAATTAATCCATGTTCTGTTACCATGCTCAAATAAAATGTGTCGCACATTTTATCTAAGCACAGATAATGTGGCTGTATCCAAATTGTCTTATGTTAAATAGGGATAAAGTGGGGGTTGGGTTGTTTTTGACATCACTTTGCAAAGTTTAGAGTTCAGAATCTTTAATTTATTTCTAACCCACTAGTCAGAAGCATTTTTGGATACTTTTTGACTCTGCTTAAAGATTTGAGCCACATATTCAGAGTACCATTAAAATATCCTAGTTTTATTTACATAGTATTGCTCAAAGCAGATCCTGCTTACCTATGTCTGGTGCAGACAAACTTGTCCATGCCCTTGTTTTTTCAAGGATGGACTGGTGTTTTCACAGCTAGCCAGCATCTCCCATACTGTAAATCAATTAAAAACACTCCGGCTTGTGCAAAACAGGTGCTGATCATGTCCTCCCAAGATCCTACCAAGTTGAGGTCTAATGTCACTTCTCTGCTGCAGTCACTACACTGGTTACCTGTAGTATAGAGTGGATTTCAAGATCTTACATTTAATTTGCAAACCTTTGCATAGCTTTCCTCCACTTTGTTTTGAGGGTGCCCTTCTGCAATCTTATACTCTCTTTTCTCACGCCATATGTTTAGCACAGGCTGTTTGTGCCAGACCAGGTTGTTCTGAGCTGGGGAATTCTGTGCCTGTGGCCTTTAGAAGTTCTTAATCTGTAAATATAGTTTTTAAACTAACCCAAGTCTTACTTTTAACTAATCACAATCTTTTCCATTTCCACTGTTTTGTTTTAGTGTTTTTTTTTAACGTACTTTAGAATAGTGCCTTTCAGTGCAAGGCTTGAAATGTACAGTATGAATTAAATTTGATCGATTACAGCCATTTTGTCTGTTGTGTTATGTATTGTAGTATGCGTTGTGGCTGGTGCTGTGGGTGGGATGGAATTCGTTCATCATCTGTTTCTATCTGGAGGTGGGACATCTCTCTCAGGTAGGTCTTCTGTCAATTTGAGCTCTATTTATGTATGTTTTTTCTGTGGCCATCATATCCTGGGCAAGGACATGTGACAGTCTCACCCTGAGCCCTGTGCATCTGGTTTAGGCTTCGGGCTTTTGATAATATACTTTCTGAAAATGGATGAATGGGAAGCATGTTTATTAAATACTGTAGCGTGATCCAATAATTATAGTTTGTGATTCAGATCAATTCCCTCAATGAATTACAGAACAGCTTTGTAGTCTCTGGGTTCTGTGTGTAATAAATACAAAAACAATAATTAAACAATCATGGCAATGTATATATTACATTTATTATTTCTATAAACTATATGTGTGTGTGTGATTGTCTTCGTATTTGTTCCTGTGTTCAACCTACTATTTCCAACAGGAAGGCCAAAAAGGTTTTGTGTGTTGTAGTACGCTGCCGTTCCAGAAACCCATCTCAGAGTGAAACGTGGTTTTGTAAATTAAAATTACAATGGTAAGCTATTTATAAGCACTGCAGCTGATTTAACCTTGATAGTGCGCTCCAGTACCATGGTGGGATATGGGAATGTCCCCAAGCATAAACAGATGTGATTTAGAAATTGGCAGCAGTGCTGCAGGCTGCACTGACTGAGGAAAGATTATAGACTAACCCTTGGCTTAATAGACTGATAGAGGGGTAGGAGTGTCCATTTTTGCCGAATGTCTATTAAGTCACAAATTACGTTTTTTCAACCCCAAAACACAGAATTACATGAGATTATATACTGTATATATACTACACATGATTTCTGGAACTTTTGACTCATTTTTTAACTGTTGTAATTGACACAGTTAATGCCTTTTGTAACATAAATATACATGCTCTTTATTCCATGTGTCTTAAATATGCTGTATAAGATTTGCTGAAGCATTCATAACACAATTAGCAACCATCTTTAGCAATTGACATGCCCCTTTAGGGCATTATTGATATTCCTAAATTTTCTCACCTTCTCACCTGGACTGAAAGAAGAAGAGTCCCAGTGCCAGTGGTATTTATTTTTAAACTTGTTTTATTATTTGATCATTTTACAGAGCTTTTTTTCATGTGAGCATTTTAGCAAATTTTTAATTATTGTTTTTTTTTTATTCACTAAACCACAGGAAATGCAAACAACACCCATCACAAGCAATTTGCCCCCAAATCAATTCTCCTATACTTTGCCAATTATTGCGAGGAAAGTCTGATATTTTTATAATTTGACAGATTTTGTCTGTTAAATCCAAAGCCCATTAAAACAATTATGTTAAACCAATGGTTTACTGTAATACAAATATGGAGGTAAAGAGAAGATAGCTCATTTAGTGCCCTTTATGCAAATGGTAAAAAGCAAAGTTAATTCTGTTATTTAGAGTCAGCAAAACTCTAAACCTTTTCTTGGAATTCCAGCCTGCTTTTCAGCATCACCTTGCTGTGGGCAGCCGACTCATTGACACAGGAATGCAGAGGTTCAGCTAAAGACACTACCTGTATCCTGCTTTATACCTGCCAGCTGTCTGACAACTCTTACACTTATCTTAAGGACCCTTCTCTTTCCTTTCCCTTCTGCGCTGGACAGCACTAAATTTAGTGTTCACATACCTTTCCTCCACACTGAGCTCAAACCACCTGGCCTTAAAAAAAAATTAGGAGAAGCCCCTCAGAACACAGAAACATTAAGAATGAGGGCTTGTCAACTTGGCTGTCTTTTGTTTAGTTCAAGAGCGTGGCTAGGTATCATTAAAATGATCAATTCCAATAAGTTTGGAATATTATTATTATTTCAACTCAAGGAACCCACAGAGATATCAACAGAAACAAATACCTCAAAGTCACTTTGTGGCAGGAATGTCCATTAACTTGCAAATGGTGGCACACGATGAGTCAGTAGCACAGACAGGGTTTGAACTAGAAATCTCTTGGTAATATGTAACATTATATCATAATTAGTAATGTGACTTTTCTCTTAACTTCATAACCACCTGCTGTAATCCTGCTGCTGAAAACCATGGGGAGAGGAAATAATTTGAATTTGATTATAATTTGAAGTCCAATCCTCAGGACAATTCAAGTAGTTGTATTTAAAAAAAATATATAGGAAGAAATGAGTATTATTCCATGCCAACTGAGCTCTCAGCGATGTAACTTTTGCAGCACTAGTGGCACCTGATGAGTGAACATTTACAATTACCATGTGTCGGGTGAAATATTTGACAGAAACTAATACGTCAATACCTTTGGCCCGTTGGGAACTATCATCACAATGCCTGAGGCTCAGGAGACGTGAGGAATGAGCAGACTAGCTATGTGGTGCGTGGAAGCAGTTAATTATGCTATTAATCAGCTAAGTACAGCTGAAATTCTAAACATCATTCATTGCCAGCCATGGGTCGTTACTCTTTCTCTTCTCACCTGGGCTGACAGAAGCTCTGAGGCCAGTGTGGCCTGCCTGTCCCTGTTTTGTGAAGGGACATCATGTCAGAGAGACAGGCTTGGAAACTGCATTCTGTTCTGCGCAGTGAAGCCTGTGACCTCTGCAGACACCATTTTGAAACAATGATGGAGTGTGCCAGAGCTGTACAGTAGATAGATGTCTTGTGATTTTCATCGGCTTTGTTAGTAGGTGAAATGTAACCTTGTTTTTCGTCAATAACCACTAGCAGACTATTGCAAAGAGCCCATTGCATTTGGTGTTTTTCTGCTGTGGTCTTTGGTTCCCACAAACACTACTTAGTTTGTGACCAAGTCACTGGAGGTCCAGGGAACAGTGCATATTTTTACTGACACTGGGTCTGATCCATTGAGCTCTGATCCATTGAGGTAACAATGTTGTTTCACTGCTTAGTGTCTCAGTTAGTATGTAATGTGGGTGCAGGATGAGCAGGAGTTGCCCAGGGATATATTTGCTTACTGGGGCAAACTGTCAGGTAGTTTGCCAGGTTACATGCACATTTGCACTAATATTTGCAAGAGGGGTATCAGTTCTCTATACAGTGTTGGCTCTGCTGTAGGTTCTGTGGGGCTCACAGTGTTAAAATGAAGTGCATTTTCTCCACACAGAGTAATTTCCACCGTGGTCTGTGCAGTTGACTGGCCAATACTGATTTTTCAATATAAAAAAATAACAACCGCTGACCTTGGTGCTTATTATTACACCTTCTCTAAAAGACACGATTTCTAATACATGACTGCCAGTTTCTGAGGCCATTTCAGAGCTCATTGTGCTGAGCAGTTCAGCTTCAGAAGTTCACGGACTGTCATCAGAGCGCCCATAAAGGACATCCTCCTTATTTAAGACGTGAAACGATAAACCTGTGTACTATTGTTTACTCTTTTGACCTTGAAAAGATGGAATGTCGGATCCTGCAAAGACACCTGGATGATGTTTGGCCAAGTATTAACAGAATTTAAATATGACCCCAAACAGCGCTAATGTACTGATAGCATACATCTCAAGTTTTTTGAAGGTATGCAGTAAAACCCCTTGAGATTTTCCTGTCCATCTCTCTTCAGAGTCTATATTGGATTTTTTTCTGCCATTGTAATAGGAGTTTCCATGGCAACACTAATTATGCTTTGGACAGCCTCTCACGCATTTCTGAAGAGACCTATCTCTGTATCATCTTTAAATTTAGAGCTGGGCGTCTCTCAACTCCAGACTTGGGTAGATGGTACAGTTTTCCGCTTCTTCTTTGATAACACCTGCTTGTTCCAAACTTTAGAAATCTCCAGAATGTTATTTGAAATGGAAGAACGTGAGACTAGTGTAAAGATAAAAACACGGATTTCCTGTGAAAAGAAGTTGGGTGCGGGTTTTATAAAGTTTATTTTTACCATGCAGTGTCTTTGTTATGGGAACTGTACAGTAGAAATGACAGTACATTTTCAAGAGGGGCAAAGCCTGCATAAACAGTTGATATCTGTAATGTATCCATTTCCGGTGACTGTACTAAAAAATAGACTGTTATGCACTGGAGGTTCAGAGACCAAAAACTAGAATCACTCCACTAAATCCAACAGATAGAAAACTAGAACCTGGAAGAAAGACCATTTTGCATACCCAGGGGCTGGATGCTGCAGTGGCATCTTTAATCTCAGACAAAACAGACACAAAAATTCTGATACAACCAAAACCACAAAAGACTCGTTTGTTTTTTTTTGCACATTTCTCTAAAGTACAGCTAGACAGCTTCAAAATAATAATAAATCCTTACAGATATATAGGCATTTTTCTGGACACTCCACTCAAAACTCCCCTCCACCACCACCAATGTGCAGCCCCACCTGGGTGATGCACCAGTACACTCACCACACACCAGCTATCAGTGGGGAGGAGAACAGAGTAATGAAGCCAATTCATGGATGGGGATTAGGAGCCAATGATTAGGATTAGGAGGCAATGATTGGAAAAGACCAATGGGAAATTTGGCCAGATTGCTGGGTTAACATCTGTACTGTTTTGGAGAAGTACCACAGAGAGTCAGGCCCTCAGTTTTACGTCTCATCCGAAGGATGGTGCCTTTTTACAGTATAGTGAACCCATCACTACACTGGGGCATTAGGACCCCAAAAAAACAAGTCTCTCTCTGAGACTCTTTGCTCCAAAATAAATTGTAAAAAACAAAACTCACACTACAATGTCCCAGGGTTCATATCCCTCTGCTCCAATCTCCTGTGGTGCAGAGTATAATAGAGGCTTACCAGCTAGAAGAGATTGTCAACAGTCCTCTGGAAGCATCTGCTTCCTAGCTTTAAATGTCACCTGACTAATCGTTTTCCACCAGTCCCACCAAAGGTGACTGTGGACGGCAGGTTATTCCTCATTGCTTTCTGGGTAATGTGGTTCAGACAAAGCTGTTTTTTAAAAGAACCCTTAGTTTGTTGCGTGCCATGAGAAGCTATGGCATAGCTCAGTTTAGTAGAGCACAGCTAAATACCTGTAAACAGCAGCAAAAGGAAAGTATATCCAAAGCAAAAGTGCAACAGTGCTTTCCTGTTGTGTCCTGGGTATTGTGAGCCAGCCAACAACTGCCATATAGTACAAATGAAAATGTGATCCAATTTGTGCTTTACTATTACTGCCTTATTCTTAACTAGAAAAGGACACAGACCAAATCTGACTCTGTGGTATCTAATGCTTCCTTGAAATGTGAAGCTTTGCTCTTCTGTGTTGAGGAAATGAAATAACTCATGTTTCTCATGGGAGATCAAGGACCCCCTGTGCATTTCCTCCTGCTATGCCATTTCTCCACCGCTGACAGCTTTATAATCTGGTCTTTTGTCTTTCTGACAACAAGGCATGTGAGCGACGGTTTCTCTAAACAGTTGCAGGTCCACTGGCTTGTACCAAAGTATCTATTGAACGTGTTAATTGGGGAGTAGTTCCTCTTCTCCTTCCTTCATAAATAAGCCCTCCGCTGCAAGCTGTCAGCGTGCTGTAAACAGCTTGTTTTGTCCTGTTGTAATGCCTCTCACAAATCTTGTTCCTCTAGGCTGAGTTTTCTATGCAGAGCGTATTAATGCCTGTAAACTACAGGGCTGGTTTGTAATTTCTTTAACCAGACCTGATAGAGTGAGCAGCGTGCATAAGGCCAGAAATCATTAAATTGACCTCTGGAGCTCAGGCTGTGTACTGCTTCTGTCTGGGCTAGAGTTTCAGGGATCCATAGGTTTCTGTTTGGCAGGCAGGAGTGGGATAGTTCAGCATGCAGAAGCTGCAGTTCAGGGATAGCGTACAAAACTTCACCGACAGTCCAGATTTCATCATGCCTTGAGTCTTACAGATACACCATGAGGTAGAGAGTGGAGTCTATGTTCCTCAGTCAGACCCAGGATTCAACCTTAAGGACACCTCCACGCATCCAATTCATACACCCCAGCCAGCACTAATGACATATACTTATACTATTCAAGTACACCTTAAAAACCTGAGTGGTTACAGTGTCTCGTCTCCATCTCCCTCTCATCTCCTTATCTCATCCCTCTTGTGTTCTTCAGCAAACTACTGTTGCTTTGCATGACCCAGCTGCATAAATGGGTACCAGCATTGCTATGGGGTTAACCTGCAGTGGCACAGAATCCCATATAATAGCCTTGAGCTCTCAGTTCAAGTAATGCTGTAGCAGCCATTGAGGCTGGTGAAGGACGTCTACCCTTAACCCCTCTTATTGCAGTCTTGTAGTTAAAATTCATAATGCCATCAAATCCTGCATCAGCGACTTCTGCTCCATTTGGCATTTGTAGATTGGGGGCTGTGTGAACAGCCCACACTCTCCCCATGCAGATCCATAGCTTCAGCCAATGAGCTGAGCTGATTAAAAGTAATGTTTTCATATTGGGAAAGGGGAAAACAAAATTAATTTGGCAAATTTCAAACAGTGAAAAAAGAGTGAGCTGCTTTTGGCATACGTGGCGACAGATAAAGACAATGCTCCATCACCACGCTTTCCATACTTACAATGAGTACGAAGTATCAAGCTGTCATAGAAGGAGACCTCAGAAACATTTCAAGATTATGACAAATGAACAACTGGAAAATGTTTAATGCTATAAAATGTCATTCATTGGCTCCCGACGTCTGACAGGAAACTGATCAGGATGATTGCTCTGGAAGAGTTGTTACTTGGAGCAGAAATGCAAAAGCTCGTGAATCTGCTGTTTGGATGTAACCTAGCCTTTTTACAAGAGTTGAAGAGGAAAAGGAGAAATAAATGGGGTGAATCTTTGCTGTGAAAGTCATGGTGTTACAGTGCTTAGCATTGCTGCCTCACAGTGCTGAGGCCCTGGGTTTCCTCCCACAGTCCAAAGACATGCTGGGAGGAAAACTGGCTTCTGCGAAAACTGGCCGTGGTGTGAGGTTGTATGTTTCTGTGTTTGTGTGCCCTGAGATGGACTGGCATCCCATCCAGGGTGTACCCTGCATTAGCCCATTGCTTGCTAGAATAGCTTCAGCTCCCCTGCCACCCTGACCTGGAAAAATGAGTGGATCAATGGAATCTTTGCTGCACTTGTCTCTTGCATCATACTGTGCAACAGTGCACATTTTGCAAAAATTAGATAAGAAGGGGGCAATCTGAAACTGACATTGTTTGCTTTTTCTTAATTGACAAGAATGAAGTTTTTCCCAGCAAATCTTCTAATACTGTATATATAAGGGGAACAGGCAGTGGAAGCCATTTTTTAATTAAAATTGCAGGAATCCGACGATTGTAGCAGGTTTATCTTGCCTATGCAAGAAAAAACCAACCAAGCTGTTATTTTAACAGTGAAGCAAACTCTTTGTAGCTGTGCTTCAGAATTGGATTTCCAGTTACCATCTTCAGTTTTTAAATCCCACGTAATGCAGTTTTAGTGGCACTAAGAAGTCGTCTTGAAGCATGTCTGTGTGTGTGCGTGGCCTGGCAGGGGGCCCAGCCTCTCCCTGCTCTTTTGAGGGATGGCAGGTTTCCTGTCTGCCGGCTGGCTCTGTTATCGCGGTTGTGCAGGCAGATTAGAGAGCTGCCATGTGCATGCTAGATTACAGATGGCAGAAGATCTAGGCAGGATGATCCCTTGTGCTCTCTGGGTCTCAGCCTGGGGTCCAGAGACTGTGATTAGCTTGGAAATGAGCACCCCCACCCCCTACTCCATGGGAGCCCAGCTAATGAAAAAGGAAGACCAGGCTAGAAAAGGCAACAATCGGTGCAATAATTGTGCAATAAATACACTGCAAAGGGGTATATTTATTCGTTTTGATTATTGCTCGGAAATCCTCTTTGGTCCCATACTCCAGTTTTGCCTGATGCTGAATAAGTAACTTTCAAATTAACCCACATCAGCTCCTGTAGCTTCAAACACTGAACCGTAAGAAATCCTAATCCCATTGCCATGTACTGTAGGAACGCATCAACAAAAATATCCCCTCACACACAGACACTACCCTCTGCTGTACTTCTGTCATTGTTACCATCCACCTTAAGGATCTCGAAGGGATGATAATTTAAATTTAGCACACTGCTACCAGGGCGTTATGATTGAAAACCTGACCTACTGTGTAATATGTACCATAGATCTTCTTCCAGAACAAGCAGCATAAAACATGACCACTCACTCTTACAGCTGGGTATTTATGGAAGTACTATAAGGTCAACTCTATGCTTGCAAATGGAAGGCTGTGATCCTTTGACAGTTACTGTATGTGCAGTATACGCCTTACAGTAGGTTAGGACTGTCAATCTGATTAGCTATCTATGCAGGATATTTAATTCACTTATGAAAACGATGCCTGGAGAACACACATCCCATTCCAACAAGCACCACTCCTGTGCACAAATGATTGGCTGAAGATGGGTAAAATCCAGGCATCGAGTGCATCCAGTGATGATTGGCATCTCTGACATCTCATCATATCAGGCTTCAAGATGGTGATACAAACTGCAAATTAAAAATGACAAAGACAAAGTGAGTCCCAGATTACGCTGTAGAGGCAAATCACAGTGCTCTAGGAGCTCCCTACTGTAGGTGGATAATGGCATGTTCTTTTTTTTCTCTGCATTGCTCAGGACCGGGATTTCCTGATGACCTTCAACACCTCATTGCACCGGTCCTGGTGGATGGAGAATGGACCGGGCTGCCTGGTCACCCCAGTGCTCAACTCCAACTTGGCACCAGATGACCACCATGTGATCACAGTGTCAGGCTGCCTGCTGGACTATCAGTACATTGAGGTGGTCAGCAGTGCTCTGCAGGTCTTCCTGGCTGTGAGTAACACTCAGCTCTTTGGGGATTCAAAATGGATATACTAATAACACAGAATATCTGGCAGCTGTCAAACAATACAGAACCATTTTGCTGGTTTGATTTCTAATATCTAATTGACCTGAGTGTCTCATCCAGCAACTTGTTTCTACACCTTGGCTGGGTAGATTGTTCCAGACACCCAAAACCCTATGAGTAAAGAAAAGCCCTATTGCCTCAGTTCTAAATGCCCCTGTGCATCAGATAATGCTTGTGACCACTGGTCAGTGTTTCAGTGCTTATATTAATAATAAAGAGCAAATTTCTGCACTAGGTAGATATCTCTATGCAAGGTGATCTCACAAAATTATGACAACAATTTAAAACAACATGTGCTAAGAAACACAGCAACAATACAATTACTGCTAACAGAAATATAACATTTAAATTCATGTTTAATCCACGGACCTCAACTAGCCTTTGCTTGACTGTTCCCAGGAAATTGCTTCAATAACTGGCAGGGCAGCTTTTAGTTCTAGACAGCTATAGACCTTTGTTTTTAATTCTGTTGTTTTTTCCACGTTTTTTAAATGTGGATTTTTGCTTGTGTTGCCTGGTCTGTCTATGAGCGTAATATTTACTGTTTTGGAAGCATTGTGCAGTTCTGTGTAATTAGAATTGTGCTACATAATTTAATTTAGCAGTACAGTCTGTGAGAGCTGTGCGCAGCCTCTGACATCCTGAAATATGCGAGCCTCACAGAGTGCTTGGAAACGCACCCTGGCCCTTCTGGTGCTGTCATAGATTTGCTTGAAATTGATTTACACTTAGCATGCCCAGTCTGCTACCTCAGAGGATTTCAAATACTACCCAGTCCCGCCTACATACAGTAGATGTTTCTGTCCCAGGGTAATGTATGACTTGGAGCAATCCAGTCATACTGTAGGTGCCTTGCAACTTTTTAAAGATCATGCTGAATTTTACTTCATCTTTCACATTTTCTATGCTGGTGATGTACAGTAGCTGCTTTTCCGGAATTTGGGGATTTGTTTTTCACTGTGTGTTCTCTTGCAAGGATCACATTAGCGGTCTCACAAAAGACCTGAATTGCCCAAGGGAGAAAAGCTGTAGGTTACGAGCACAGCCTGGCTCTGAAATGTTGGTCGATGTGTATTATGAAAGCTCTGAGTTAGCAATATGGTATTGTGCAGTAGTCCGGTTTCCAATCTCTAAACGTTTTTGTCTCTCTCCCTCTCTTTCTGTCCCTCTCCAGCTCTTCGGCTTTGTGTACGCATGTTACGTCAGCAAAGTGCTGCTGGACGATGAGGACAGCTGTGAGTTTCCTGGCTCTGGAATGGGGGTCTGTGGGGGAACTGGGTTATACATTTCTTCAGCAGAGCACAGCAAGAGTTTCAATGAACTACCTTGCTCTAGGGTATAGCAGCAGTATGTAGTCCATGATTTGAACCCACAACCCTCCTAATTTAGCAGACATACTGTAGCTTATGGATGCCAAGGGAGTTTAGGACACTTTTTCCTATAAGGACATCCTTCTTTGCAGATGGGCTTCACAAAGACAGTTATGTACACAAGAAACCTGCTTGATGAATACATTCAGACCTCACGGACACTTGGCAAAACTCCTTTCTCTAGCACAAGAAATGGTCCTCATCAAATAGAAAACCATCGACACCATGCATAGACAGAATTTCCCATAAACCATTACTCTGTCATAAGCTTTCTCATAATTCATGAACAATATGAACACTTTCTTAAGCTTCTAAAAAAAAGTCACACTTCTCATGCAGTGTGATCCATAATCAGGCATAAAGTCCCACTATACATTCCATGTCTTAATGACTCACTCTGTGAAAATTATTGAGAGACCCTGAATAACAGACTTATTGCTCTGTAGTGCTTTATTTGGGGTGGATAATAGTATTGTGACTGCAGTGTGCCAGTCATTGGGGACACTAGACAAAGTTAAATATAGCTGGGATAGCCAGTGTATGTCCTCCTCCTGCCTTCACCTTTACAGCTGATAACTCAGCACCAGCTGATTTTATAAGCATTCCTCACACATCCCATAATAATGTCTCAACCTTTGCATATTACTCCTCAATCATCAGGCTTACATCTGGACTCCTCATTGCCCATTTCAAAGCTACAGGTGCATCATGCACTGTAGTTCCACACTTGATTCACATTTCTCACATCTCATGTGATTCTTTTGTTATAGAGATGTCCTAACTTTTGTGTTTCTGCTGCTTTCTTGCTTCAGCCTATATTGCAACTACTATATTTTCACAGTATGTCCGGCTTCATGATATGCATCAACTGTACCAGCTCCCTGTAACCAGTTTTGATAGCCATCTGCTTGCACCTGAACAGCTTGAGCTCCTTCTGTATTCCATCACCTATTGCTCTGCAAACTAGCTCACTCTGTAGCAGACCTCCTAAAGCACTATCCTTCTCATTGTTCAATCGTTTCCAACATACTGTACCTTCATTCACTCCATCCTGAGCTCTGGGAATTCATTTTCATAGAAACCCATGCGCCTTTGAGTGTTCAGCTAGCACAGACCCACTCCTGAAGGAAACATAAATAGAGAATAGAACTTGCCCCTTTGTTGTTCATAGAATGTTCATATTGAATATCAATATTTTATATTGAATATTCAAGCTAGAAAAGGTTATATGCTTTTGTAACATTACCTATTTTTTTCCTTTTTTGTTAAATAATTATTTCCTTGTTGCATATGCTAAGTGTGTTGTGCATGGATATTTTCTCTTTGTTGCCTACAGCTTATATCATTTAGACAACACATTCCAGAGAAGTGAATAAAAAGGCTTCTCAGTCCTGACAGTTTAAAACAAAAATCTAAATGATAGAAAACTCTAGTTGGGCAGCACTGTTTCGTTCCTCCAGAATGTGATCTACAGCTTGAAATGATACTATCATTGATAAAAGTTCACTTTGGAGGGATGCTAATACTGTTATATACTTTTAATTGAAAAGACCTATCGTCCTATCTCTCTGATATCCTCTGACAGCAAGTTGTTACCTTTGCCTACCCCACAAGAACCATGTTACCAGATGCCTACCCCACAATCAGATGGGTTATAATAAAGGGTGTTATAAGCAAACACACCTCCTCCCTATTATATATGATGCTACACTCAATGCAGGCCCCTCTTCTGTGAGATACTGAGAAGCCTTATTATGTCTGTGGTTTCTAGATATTCTGGGTTTGGGATCAAGCTTCAATAATGTAGTTAAAAATGGCTGCTTACCATTCAGCAGAGATGTCAATGGACAGTTATTTTCCAGTTTGCTATTTGTATTAATCAGGGAGGCCCACTTTACCCACTGTGGTTTGCTTTGAATTTGGTGTTACTATCTCAAGATATGTGTCAATTTCTAATGCTATTTCTCTTAATAATTGTCAAATAGCATAATGATCTCCACTCATGATATGTTATCATATGCAGACAATGTCTCCCAATCCCTGGCTCAACAGCTATCTATTTTTGAATATTCTGGTGTTATTGGGGTATAAACTGAACTGGTCCAAGTCAGCTGTACAGTACTGGTGTTACACTGGGCGGTAAAGAGAGCCAGCCCTCCTTCAATTAAGATTTAATCATTTTCACTGGCATTACAATTGACTTGAATGATGCCATGTGTGGACTGATCCTCTCAGTTCTCTTCAAGCTGGAGTTTCCATTGTAAAACTGAATGTGCTTGGTCACTTGATTATCACTCAGATCCATAAAGGGGAAAATAATCACATATTTTGTGGATTTCAAAGTGAGAAAGAAAACGTTCACACTAGCTTTCTGTTCATCGTCTGGTGATGCATTGACTTGAAAACCATTTCAAAAAACATGTCTGTATGCAGCGAAAGCTTTTTCAAACACAGGGGAATTTGTTTTTTGTGTGCATTTAAGATGATAACAAAAATAAGTACAGATTGACATTTTCTGACTTTTTCTTAATTGACTCTACCTCTTGTCCCCTGTTGTTTCTTCTTCCTCTGTCAGTCGATTTCATTGGCGGGTTCGACTCCTACAGCTACCACCCCCCTCAGAAGACATCTCACCTTCAGCTGCAGCCTCTCTATACGTGAGTTCCTCCCTCTTCTCTGGCCATTGAGTCTCTTTACCACATGACTCCTGGGATTAATAACTGTCTAAGTAGTTTCTAACAGTTGTCACTGAGAAATATTTGAACAGTCCGGGCTGGATTCATTTTAATAAAGTGAAGACTGATCTATTTCCAGAAATAAGAGGGGCAGTGTTTATGCTTGCCACTGTGTGAGCATAAAAAAGGAAAACATGGAAAAAAGATGGAGCATGTATGAATTTGAAGGGTCCTTGGAAGTCCTGCTGTTTTATTAAATGCTTCTCTATTTAAGAGACCTCAGTGGTGACAGGGAGCCTGCACACTGAGATGTGTCTGGCAGGTGAGGTAAAACAGAGTGCAGACAGTCCTCCTTATTTGCAGGGGATATGTTCCTGAGCTGTTTGTAGGTAACAGAAATACACATTTACCATGGGTTTACCTAATACACTATGCGCATCAATATCAATATGGCAAATAACAAAGGAACGTGACAAGATAAAAAAACAGTACTGTACCATTTTCTGTTATGAAAAACAATAATATAGAAAACATAAAGCACTTTAACTTTTAAAGTTACTTTGTTATTGTCAGGAAGATGTGAGAAGACTATAGCACTGTCCATCAAGGTGTATAATGATGGGTGAGGGTTAGCAAAGCAATAGGCGAATCCAGTGGGGATTGTAACGCAAAAATGCCAACTAAAGACAGCAGAGGACTGCATGCGACTGTGCCGAGGAAGAAAAAATAAATGATGGGTAAGAGATGGAGGATTCTGGGAAATGGGAAGAGGTGATGGGTAACACAGAGCAAAACGCACGTGTGATTTTTGAATTTAGCCTTGGAGAGAACTCTTGAGAATGTTCAAGAAGGTTTGAGAATGTTCTAGAAGCTTTCAGAATGCCTCTCAAGTCAGGCTTCGCCTGAAGCAGTGAGAATGGAAAACCATGATCGAGGATAAAGGAGTGTGTAAGACTCTAAGATAAGTTAATGATAGTGATGGGCCATTAAGCCTACATAGGACTGTGGAATTCTATAAGCAGCTCCCCTGTCTTGTGGTAGAAACTGTCTCCTTGGGATCCTTTAAGAGTTAGATACAATTCTTTGAACATTAATCTCCTAGCAACACAACAAGCAAGAGGGGCCAATGGCCCCTTCTCATTTTGTAACCTTTTGTATGTCCTTATGAGCTTACGTCATTCTCCTACACACTGAGTGGGTCTGTAGGGCAGTGATGGCAGTACATCTCAATGACAGAAGGAGATAAAAGCATCCTGAGGGCATCTGACTCTTTAGCAATTGCAGTAACAGCGCAAAAAAAAAAATGAACCAGAACTCTGATATTAGATCAGCCTGTGAGCTTTTCTGTTGTGTCAGGAATGACAAAACTAGTCCTTGTCCATTTCCCAGATGCTTAAAAGGCCTTTTATAAGTTGCATTTAGGTCCTAGTTAGATATTCACTTTGCATCCCTAGCATATGTTTAAGCAATCATACCCATTTATATTTCTGAAAATGGAATTTTGTACATGATGTGATCCCACGTTTTTTTTTTGTGAAAAAATACTTTTAATGAGAAGAAGCCTCTGGCAGTTAGCTCCCCAGCGGGAAACACTGACTGATTTTGGGAGTCAAAATGAGCAGCGCTTTGAAACTCCTCCCTGAGGACCCCATGTCCTCAGACAGCAGCGACATTTCCTGTGCTCCCCAGACCTGCTAAACGAAAGCCCCATGGGTTTGGAAAGGCTGCTGTTGAGAGAGGAGCCCACAGGCAATGCAAAGCCTGATGTGTTTGTGTGACTCTCCTAAAACAATGAAACAAGCGGAGAAACGATGAGCCATTTGGCATGAGGAGAAAAGCAGGTAGGGAGAACAAATATCAGGGCAGCTGATGCTTCATTAACGTGTTTTGTAGGAACTTAGTTTCAAAAGGAGGCTTTTAGAGGTTTAGAGAGAAACATCATCACCAGTCACATACAGTAGTAAAGCACATTTGCATCTTTAAGAAATCAAGGCAGCCTATAAGTTGGACTGCAGCACTACTGCCTAGTAATCTTATCTAATCATATCTCACAATCTAAGGAAGGCTGGGAAAGCAGACCTCTTAGGACAGCAAGGACCAGTAGGTAGCGAACCTCTTCCCAGACTATAATTTCCAATGCACAGCCCTCGGTGATATACAGGATGTCCTTCAGAGGAGACATGAAGTCAAGGTTCTGACTCCTTGGTCATGAAAGATGAAGCTGTTTGTAAGAGTATGGGTGTAAACCAGGACACTGTAGTTAAGTTCAACTCTGGACTTGTAAATTCTGACCTACACAAATTAGAATTCAGTCTCCTGTCGCCATCACTCACTGGTCACAAACAGGTCGCCATCACTCACAGGTCACAAAGATATACTCAAGAGTCCTGTCATATTCACAGTGACCCGTTCAAGTCAAGAAGATGCTTCAGTATCAGCTGTGTTCGGACATTGTGAAACCTGAGATCTGTTAGTTTTACCAAGATTTGCAGAAGTGTCTCTCATCCAGATAAAAAACGTTTTAAAATCAATTTGCACATCAATTTCAAAGTGTGTCCTAAGGCCTTTAATGGCGGTCTTGAGAGCTAGCCTGGAAGCTCTTTTGGGTGTATAAGTGCTGTCAATCAGTAACTTTAACCAGTTTCCAAGAAATATGTCAGATTTTCGTTTGTATTCATCTGAATGTTTATGAAGAACTTTAGAAACCATGGGAACTTTTACAGAAGAGAATTGGTAGTTGCTTTATCACTGGCATTTCTGGGGGATCTCTGTTAGCAAACCAGGGGTAGTTCAGTGTTCTCTAACTGGGAAAAAGAGTTCTTCACACGTGGCCTTTGGTGATTCACTTTGTATAATGACTTTCAAAAGTCTGTCCCACTGTTGCAAGCAGTATTTCTTAGAACATTAGACTAGACAATTTCATTAAGAAAAATTATTGCTGCCAGCCTTTTCCAAGTGCATAGTCACTATTACCTACATTATAATTATTTTCCTTTTTCCTGAAAGCCAATTGACATCGGCCCCTGGATCACAGGCTCATGAATAGGTATTGTGTTGAATGATAATGTTGGGACACTCCTGTTCTCCAGTAGACTTTTCTGTTCATATTCCCCATGCAGTGGAAACAGGTGCAACAGCACTTTTCTAGGAACGGAGATGAAAATTGAATCTGGCACACTAAGCGAGCAGGCTAGCAGCAGTGCAGTCTAATAGTACCAATCCAGTCTGGCTCCTAATACAGTGATTGCTTCCCCTTCTGAACGTATTTTCTTTTCCCATCCACAGGTCTGGGTAACTCGTCCAGATTAAGAACACTCACACCCTCTGGGAAATCCCTCTGAGCTGAAAACACAGGTGGATGGTGGTGGTGGGTCTTTCTGCCATCTCCAGTGCATGAGAACTGAGGTCTGGGGGAAGGCAGCGCTGCAACTTTTTTTTTAAATTGTACAATTGTGTTATTACCTCTGCCACTTTCCTGAGCGAACGATAACATGGAGGAGAGGTCAACCCGGGGAGTGTATGAGTGCCACCTGCTGGAAGCCAGGCTGAACTGCACCACATATGAATAACAGAGTTCACTCCCAGCCTTCAGACAGAACTAAGCTCTTCAAAACCACATTGAGGACCAAGCTGAGGAATAACATCTTTTTTATTTTATTTTCTAAATGTGTCAGAATGTATTTTTTGTTGTTTTTATTCTGTGTGGTATAGATACTTTTTCAATGCAGATTTAACAGGGTTATAGATGTGAGGGTGGGTGGGCTGGGTTATGTGAAGCCTTTACTAGTGCAGAGTATTTTACTGGTTTTTCATTACACATCTTCCCAGTGGTTAACAGTCGTTCTGACAGACCAGAAGTGTGGGATGAAAAAAGATAAACATTGATACATTCACAGACAAAAAAACAGACAGTGACTTAATAAAAACTTCCAGGTTACCATACCACATTTTCAGACCCTGCCATGTTCAGACAGCCTTGCAGGATTCAAACTGATGTTTTTATATTCGTTGGTTTTACAGGTAAATCCTTGTAAAATCACAATTCATATTTGTGAGGATGGATTGCTCCAGAATCCAAAAAGTAACCTAAAGATTTAACCTTGGAGATCCTGGATTGAGCGAAGCATGTTTGTAATTCACCCTGGCTCTCTGTAAACACTTTCTGCACATGAAAATCAATTTCAGCTCCTTGCACAGCTCTGAAAGCTCGTGTTCTGAAAGGGGGTGGGAACAGAGCTGTGCTGATACGTGACAGAAAGTCTTCAGGTCCTGTGATGGCCCGGGGAACAGGATGCTGGTATTGATCGCAGGTTCAAGTCAAGGCGGCTCTTGAACTGTGGAGCAGTGAGAGCTGAATGAAAGGAAAATGAATAAACCTCTACCCATAGCCCCGCTTTAGCGGATTATAGGTATATTTGTAGCTGTAGCTATAGTTTATTAACCCTTTGCAGTTCATTAACTTGAGACGTGCTGGCCTTGTTTGACTGATAGGAGCACTCAGTACTATGGCAAAATGTTTTTCAGAGTAAATCAGGGATATATTCAATAAATCAAGCATTACAGAATGCTCAGTGAGCAAACGCAGTAACAGAATGCTCCTTTATTTAACCTTTGGCTAACAATGTCAGGAGGTGCCTCTCCAGGTCTCTCTACACTGGAAGCTTAAAAACTGAGGAACCGATTAATGTAAGGAGATACCCAGTTGTCCCTTTTCCCCTTAAAAGACATAACAAACACTTAATGCAAAACCTATTTGACCATGTTGACTGCATGGCTACATTCCCTGCCTTTTCTTTCTTCTTCAGTCTGCTCATGTCAGTCCCAATGGGGCCAGGAGATCTGAAGAGTCGAAAACAAGACAAATTGATATTTTTACAGATTCGTTTCTTTGCTTTTTATTTCCAGACGGTGGTGGTGTTGTACACACGCTACTGTGAAGTCATTAATTTATGTATCTCTGTGATTCAGTTTCTCTGTTTACAAAACATCTAAACAATACGATTCTCCAGTTATGATTGTTAAGATTTATCTTGGCCCAATTAAACATAGTAAATTATACACACTGATCCTAATTCTGGCAGATTAACATGTTCAGGTCTGGACATGAATATATTTTGTTTTTCACTCACCACTGTTATCTCCTAACCTTATTGACAGAGGTTCAATAACCTCTGTCAAAGTGTCTCGGCACAGTGCTCTGCTAATTGAATGCACGCTATTGGAACTAAAAAAGGACACACTAGAACAATAACCGAGTTGTTGTCTGTGATCTCACTATTTAGATCTAGATTATCTTTCTGCTGTAACATTTCCAAAAACATGAGGTTTGTCTGTGATGCTGTGTAGTTCAATGTGGACACAATTTCTCACACTTCTTTGTGTGAATTGCTGATGGGCACATTTTTAAGAGGAAAGGGCAGATGTTTCTTTTTTTCTGTGTATTATGAATGGTACAATGGCTCCCTCTCCTGTCCAGAGTCTGTTCAATCAGTCAGTGGCTGCTCAGGACTAAACAAGATATCATTTGGTTATGTGGGACCAGGTTTGGACTGCAAAGGGTTAAAGAACAGAGTCACACAAAGCCAGTTGCGTGTGTTTTAGAATTCTAGGGAGTCTAGAACTCTTGGTGTTTAGCTATGACTTTCTATGCAGTATCCACTTTACTATGTGGAGGTTCTGAAGTGTCACATCTGGATCCAGACTGCAATCCCTAAATAGACTGAGTGTCGCAAGTCATAAAAAAAGTTAGTTTTTATTTAAACTGAATGAAACATGAAAGTAGAGGGAGACAGTTTATTTGTTCAATTTGTGGAGTCTTCATTGCCATACTGACTTGACCAGACCTTAATATGCAGGTTGTCTTCGGGCATTAGGAGAATCAGTCACTGCATCTCTCATTTTAAACTGGTCCCACAGACGCTTCACAAAACGTTTCCCTGGGATGGATAATGCCAGAAGAGAATGAACAGTTGACTGAGATGCCCTCAGAATTGCTGGAAACAAAAGATTAGCTTTGAAAATCAGACTCATGCCAGTTGTAGGAGTGTTATTGGTCTGTGCTCTGGTGCTTCCTCATTGTCACTGGGGAGTTCTAAGCAGCTCTTGTATAATATAAGTATGTGACTTGAATTGGGCTTTTGGTTTCGTTGCACCTGATCTTGAAATCATTGATTTTGATTTTATGTTCAAATAAATTGATATGGAACAGGTTATTGATATCAATGAGAACTGTACACCTTAAAGACTACAACTGGTCAACTATATGAATTACAAGCATATAGTGAGGGAAACGCATTGTGTCCAAACCACTGTTTTTTCCTTAATATTTCATTAAACTGACCACCCAATCAAATCCAGCAACAAGGACACCAACAGTAATACTGCCATTTAAAGGGAGCACAGCTGTTTGTGTTTGAAGATAAATCTGACACTATTTTGACTTGCTCTCAAACAGGATAGATCAATCTTTTCTTGTTTTTCTATTCTGTCCTGCAATGGGAATGAGTGTCATAAGTGCCAAAAGAGTGAAATGTACTGTATGTCACAGAAATAGTGAGCATTCTGAAGCTTTGTTCTTTGTGAATTATTCAGATATCTTCCAGGTTGTCTTGGATGATCATTACAGGTCATCCCTAAATGAAGTGGAGGACAGATTCCACAGGCTTCCTAAAGCTGAGTGGTTTACCTTTATTGTACTGTGTCTAACAGTGACTTTGGAATGGATGGAAGACTAAATTAGACCTTGTTTAGAACTGTCCTGGGAAAGAGAGCAAGTCCTATTGGCCTCCAGTGAGGTTGGGAGAGAGGGTCCTTAGAGAAACAGAGCCTTTCTTCAGCTGTTTATTGAAGGATCCCAGAATTTTGGCTTCAACAACCTGTCTGGACATCCACTTTTTGGGTGAAGAAGTGACCAGATGCCCAGGGGATTTCTGATGAAGCACTTCTTTTTAACTTTGTGACTATTAGGAGCAGGCAGAGCTGGGACATCCTCTCAATACCCCCAGCTAATCCAGTGAACTCCAGTGTGCCTGTTGGTCACAATAGCGCACCAGAGACCATGCATGGAGGTGCTATGATATCCGAATAACACTCAGGGGTAGCCCTCCTCCTTCTGTACCATCACATGAAAAATGCACAAAAACACATTTGGGGGGACCCCAAACCCCAGCTAGCTCTTAGTTGTCCCATTGGCCACCCCCACCAAACAAAACCTGCTGTCCAGGCCATGTGCCAGTGTGGCATAGCTTGTTCTCTGCCTGAGAATCTGTGTAATCCCTGTAGAGGGGGTGAGATATTTATGGGAGCAGGCGTAAAGCAAAAATATTTTTTTTTAAATAAATCCGTGATCGGGACAGGTACAGCTCCGCTCTGTCGGGTTCGGATCATTGTCGCATTGTCGATCATTGGGCTCACAGCCACATAGTGCTACTGGGACAGACAAAGACAAACCCCACCGTGAGAGAATTCTACACTATCTAGGTTTCAAGGCGGGTGATGTAACCATCTGTAACAGGCTCTGTGCCACTCAGTTCTGCTCTGTTACATCGCACAGAACGTTGTTGTGCTGTCTGATTTGATAGACAGTCCGCAGAGATGACAAGTCATTTATGATTGATAGGATTGCAGTCATGATTAATTGCACTAAATCTCACAAACTCATTTAAAAAGCTTAGAAAAGTACTGTGTACGGATAAACTGGCTCCCAATGAATTTCATGTATTGAAAATTAAAGTTCAGGTAGGACATTATCATCCTGAAAACCCTTATGCACATTACAGAATGTGTCCATACCACCAGTACCGAAGACTTCACAGCCATTTCCTATTCAGTTCAGTTTTTTTGTCATATGCACAAGTGCAATGAGATGCTTATTTGCAAATAGTAAATTTTATTTACATTCTGTTACCACTCACCTCTCCACGGCACAGGGGACTTGAAAAATGGAAATTGGACACAATTGGACAGTTTTTAGTTCCCAGGACAGTTCACTTAGTGTCTGGTCAGAAATATTTAAAACCTCAAGTTTGCAGCCTTTTCAAGCACAGAGTATGTGCAACAAAAATGTCCGGTGTGGTTTGTATGTAAATTTTAAGAATAAAAATCTAGAACTAGATGTGAACATGGATCTGTAGTAGTGTTAGGACAATGAAATTGGGTCTATGTGCATGTTAATATTACAGTGAGCAAGATCTGTCTTGCTTCTGTGAAAACTACTCCTGTCTGTCTTGGTTACCTGTGTGGCTGCTGTATTACTCTCTGTCTGAATTTACCCTGGTATGACTAAGACACCTGTAGCGACTTCACTCAGAGTACTTGCTATGAGATTTCTCGGTATGTTTCTATTTACATTTTAACAGAATACTCATCTATTCTTTGTGGAAGAAAAACAAAATGCACTGTTTCTTCTTGTGAAATTTTCCCCACAGGTTCTCAGTTTAAATGTTGACTGTTTAAAAGGAGAAAACAACAAAAAAAGACCATTTAGTTCCTATTACAGAAATTACTACTCACATATTGTCTCAGTGCCATTGAGACCTGTCCTTAGTCCTGCTTTTGATCTACAGTATGTTAATCAAAAGAGGTTTGTTTTTGTTTATTTTACTGTCTTGAGTGGTAGCACTCCTGAAAGTGAACTCTCTCGTCTTTTCAGGACAAGAAGAGCATGGATTAAAAAGACGTGATGACCCGTTAAGTTGCAAATTTAGTAGTAGTATTTTATGTAGTATTTTACTATTACTTCCAAGATCATTTTTCTGTGCAAGAATGTTAATAACTGAGTATGCTTTCATATTTAGTCTGGAGAACCAATGTACACAAAATTGGCAGAATTCATAAATGTCATACTGAATATCAGCTGAAAAGACAACATAAAATCCAAATGAGGAGCCTTCTTTAGATGAGCCTTCTTCACACCCGAAGAAGGCTCCACAGCCGAAACGTTGTGTTTTCTTCTCTTCAGAATGGAATAAATCTATTACTTGTTCCTTTGCCGCCTACACATGCTGACACAGCTACCCACCTGAACTACTTAAATCCAAATGCACTATATTCAAATGTTTAATTGTAATGGTTAGAAACATTGCACACTTTTCAGATTATTATGGTTGTGATAAGTATTTTGATCTAATTTAGCACTAATATATAAAGTATAGTCTTAAAGTAGACACAACCAGTCTAATTATAAAGGCTTTTAGGAAACATGCCTGTTTTATCCTAAGGAGCTCCAATCTGTGCTCATAACTACAGTGACTAATAAAATGTTTGGTGGTCAAGAAAGCAAAGAAGAAGGAAAGCAAATAACAATCGCATCAAGGCTGTGTTCTATGATGCTGTGTGATCCTTTCAGGATTATGTGTCCATAGCCTCTAAAATGATAGGTTGTGTAGAATTTCACAAGTTTTTCTAATTACCTACTTCATGCAAATTCTTGGAAAATGCTGATGAAATCATTTGAGGTAAAGGTTTTTAATATTATATTGATGAGTTTATATAAGCCCTTTAAACCTCAGTTAAACTTGTAATCAGATTCAGGGACCAGATGTGTAACTCAAACAGTTGGTGGAATTAGCTAGAAATAAAAACATGATCTTGATCTTTTTTTTTTTTTTTAATGGAGCATACTGCCTTACTTTCACCTCTGGCTTTAAACACATTCCCTCAAGAGAAACAATATCACCCGACACTGTTTTCCAGTGTATGTTTCTCTGGTGCACATGGGTGTTGGGTCGTTTTTCACTGGCCTTGAGTAATTAATTGGGTGAATAAAATTAGAATTCACTAGGAAACTTGGTTTTTGAGCCACATGGGAGATTTGCCAAAACCGGGCCTTTTGTGCTTCCCCATATTCATCAAACTACAGAAACTGCACACGAGTCCTTTGTTACACCAGTGAAATATTTGTAATCCAGGGACAAAGTATATTCCCACAATCTGTTGCATTAAAAAATACAATGTGCATGCTCTGCATTTTAAGTGGATATTAATAAATGTCCATTGGGCCCTAATCAGCCCGAGTATGCTCTAATGGGGGATACTTGAGGAAGGAGAATTGTTACTGCCACAGGACAGGGATTGGGAAGACACCAGACCTGGGAAATGAAGACCTCTTTCTGGGCAGGAGGCAGGTTCGCTCCCTCCTCCTGTGGGAATGATGGTCTCGGACAAAGCCTTAGTGGCTTCCTGCTCTAAGAGGTCCTGAAGAGGCAAGCTTGCTTTTGCTAATCAGCACGACTCTCTTGTTTTCGCTGATTTGCTGATGCCTAGTAGAAAATAACAAAACCCTCAGCTGTGGCTCACTGAAGGATGAGTGCCACAAGAGGATAATGCACCATCGTATGAACACTGTATGTGCATCTATTTTATGCATTCAAATCCCAAAGGGTGCATTATGTGCAGTTATCCTCTGTTTCTGCTCATAGTTGCCATTGAGTAGCTCTAATGAAAGCGATAGAGGGATGAATGTATAAGAAGTTATTTGTCCAGGATTTTAACCCACTTCTTTCTAGGGCACCTTCAGGCTTTCATTGACATCAACAAGAGATGTGGTAACACTTCCTGTCCTGTGAGGCACTATGGGACTCACAGCCTGGCAAAGGACAAAGGCTCTACAAGTGAGTTCGACAAGTCGGTCTCTCTCAGGTCTTTGTCAAACAGTAGTGTCTGAAAGGTGCTTAGCAATACCAAATTGAGTGGTCTGGCAAAACATGTTTCTTTTCTTAGAGGAGTGTCTTCTTACAGGGTGTGGAAACCAGAAAGGAAATGATGGTTCAGTATTAGGCAAGCCTGACAGGACTCATGGTATATGATGACATCACTTCCTTGGTCTCTCAAGAGCTTTCACATTGATCTAGACAGGGGGCTGTGGTGTAGTTGGTTTTGACACAGTACTTGCACTGTGGTGCTCAGGTGCTCAGAGATGTACTGAGATTGTGTTTTGGCCTCAGGGTCCAAATTGCAAATGCTACACAGGTTTGCCTGCACTTTGCGTGTTAAACTGTTTACATCCACTGTGGCGTAAAAGCAAAAGTCATTAAAGCCATTTGCATATGCTTTTAGTTATGGTATAAAGTTTCACATCTTCTTCTCTTAACTGACAGAGGCAAAAACCGTTCCTGAACAAATGTGTTAAATTTCATGTTGTTTAGGGTATGCTTCTCTTTAACCGGGATGACCCTTTTCAGATCGAACCAGGCTGAGTTCAGACACTGAGTGAAACAGTTGTACTCTGTAATACCAGCTCTACAGCAGTGCTACCAGAGTGCTGCCTCTCATGCCTGGAAGCTTTTAGTTTTACTGTGCTCATACCCAGGCATCCTTGAGATGCATGGGTCAATTAATTACAGAAGAGTCTGGGTGTACCACATGGCCTCCATATGTTTATAACTGTTCTTATGTTCACAAGTTTCATACTGAACTGAAGCTGGGATCTTCAGGACTGTGTTCCATTTAAAGTGCTTTTGGAACTTTATTTTTTAATAATCCCACCTGAGGATTTAAAGACACCTGCGAAACCTGAAGGACCCAGTGAAGATAGCAGTGGTAGACCTGATCAATTGAATTCCATCACAAAAACATCAAATAATCTCCAAATTATATTTTTTAACATGGTCGTAGTTTTAATAACATAGCTCGCTATCCTTAATAATATTATTTTGCTTAATTCAAGCACTTGTGGATACTGCTAACAAATTGTGAACAGGCAGAGGTGCCTCAGCGCTCCAGGCTCTTGGTAATCAGAGTGAATCTACACCTGATTTCAGCTGTTGTCTCATCAGCTGCCGTGACAGTGATAGTCCTCCCAGCGTGAGGGGGAGCACTCTGGATTTGTTTGTTTTTTTTCTAATGGGAAATAAAAAGACCCTCTTTTATGGAAAATAAAAAGATGCAAGTTAAATGTTGTATTCCAAACACTTGGATTAGTCCTACCAAACCAGTCGGAATGGATCCATAAGCTAATATCCTAGGAGAAGATTTTTTGCCTTGCATGTCCATACTTGTAACATTATTCTTCTTTGTATGTGATGAATTTGGTGTGAAGAGACCCGAACTGACAGATGAGATGTTTCGGGACACCGGGACAGCTGGAGTCAGTGGATTGGCTGGGATTCTTGGGACTGGGGCTTTGCCCTCTTTTGAGAAATAAAGCAACACTTTATAGCCAGTGTCAATGATTCTTGATCTGTTGCATGTCAACCATGTTATCATTTTTGGTGACGATTTCTCTGCATGGATTAGGCGAAAATGTCAACCCAACAAAAAATTGAATTGTTTCCGCTTCATTTCATGGTTAGTTACTGGTCTGTGGGGGACCTTTTTGTGTATCTTTTCCTGTTTCTGTAATTTTCCCAAAGGATTGTGGGACTGCCTTAAAACCCGCTCCATGTTGGACACCGGCACCTGAGTGATGTCTTATTCCCAAGTGTAGGGCCTTTGAAGAAGTCCTGATCTCAAAAACATGGAACAGAATGTCAGATCGGCACCTCAATCAATATATAGGGCTAAAACTAATAAATAATGAAATAATAGGGCTAAAATAGATTATTATGGCAGATGGTGCTTCTGCCCCATAGCTGGTCTAGGGCCCAGGGGTTCAATTCAAGTCAGGGATGCCTTCTGGTTGTGTGTTCTTCCTGAGTCCATTTGGGATTTCTCCCACCTACTGAAGACATGCTCGCTGGCTGATATCTCTAAGATGGACTTGTGCATCTTCCCTGTGATGGACTGGTGTACCATACAGGTTGTATTCTGGCACGATGCCCTGTGCATTCTGGTTGCCTCAATTCTTACCAGGTACTGTGCATAGCTTTCTGGTAATAAATGTTTCTAAAATATTAACAAGACATGGAGTTTCTTTGGGCTGCGTTATTGCTGTAATGCTCCATAAGCCCTTTGCTTGGACACCAACCAAGGAGACAGGCTGTTGCCCTCTCAGACACACCAGCGTTTGTGTCTGCAGTAGTGAGTGGGGCAGGAGGCACTGTGGAACACCAGAGCTGGGGGTGATCGGCAGCTATTTCCCCACAGGATGGGAGCGCTCAGGTGGATGAGGAAAAGCAAATTCCGAGAGAGGTACGCAAGAGTAGATTTGATATGAATATAGATTTATTTCTTAATGATCTCTTCACGTGGACATCAGTGTTAAATGCCGCAGCGTGAAAACTATGTTCCTTATGTTTGTCCTTTGTAAAAAAGAGATGGACAAGGTTTGGCTTGGTAGGCTAGCATACCGCACAAACAATACGGAGATCTGATCTATTTTGAAATGACATTTTGAAAAAGGGTTAATGCTGCTTTCCTTTCTCTAAATGGTGGTACTATTCCTGGTAGTTATGAAGAAGTTACCATAAAAAAACTTATCCATCCACCTTATATTAAGCTTTAAAGAGCAGGAGAGAAACGCAATGTGAAATATTAAGTGATTAACCCCTTACTGAACTCTGCATCCTCTACAGCACAGTGTCCTTGGTCCAATGTTACGTCTGTAGACTATCTCGGCAAACAAAGTGTGCAGGGCAGGGTACACCCTGGATGGGACGCCAGTCCAGCGCAGGGCAGACAGACACAAATACGCACACACACACCAGGGCCAGTTTTGCCAGAATCCAGTTAACCTACCAGTGTGTCTTTTTACTGTGGAAGGAAACCAGAGCACCTAGAGGAAACCCAAACATACAATAGGATAACATAAAAACTCCTTGCAGATTGCACATTAGAGCCCCAGTGCAGCGAGACAACACTGCTAACCACAGTGTCACCGTACCGCCCGGAAAAGCAGTAAACGTGCCAAAACAAATATTGCTGCTTCAGGTTACACAGCCCAATGCAACTGACCAGACATCGTGATGCATCGCCTCCCCCTGTGGCATCTTCTGAGAACAGCCTCCAGGAAATTAATGGAAATTAATATTTTTTCACTTGTATCATTTGACTCAGTGTTGCTATTTAATTAATAACAACATCCGGAAGGCTTAATCCTAGGTGGTTACAATTGAAATAAATGCATTGGTTTGTGACGGATATTTATTTTCAGATGATGCATGTAGCCAGTGCAACGCTCGGTTGTTTTAAAAAATAAACATATATCCCCTGGGTATTTTCGATCTGTCTGCCGAAGTGTAAAACAAACATTATGCTAAAAACAAGCGTTCAGTTTCACAAACACAAATCTCGATTTACTTCATAGCTGTCCCTTATCTCCTGACCTGTCGTACTGTATATCTGTATTTTCTAACGTACTGTATTTGGGACTGGGGATTTGAATAAGAGGCTCTGGGCAGTGTAATTACTGAATTTCTTTGGAAAGGACAAAGTATTTTTTTTCCTTATACCTGCACGAGTTTCCGTTTTCTGTGCGCTTTTTGTTTGAGAGAAATAAAAAACGCATCCATCTCTAAAACCAAGACATTTCCTCAAACCACAACTATCGACTGTTCTCAAACGCTCACCCGAAAACAGTGGTCAGGTTTAAAACAAATCTATATCTATCCGCTCTGTGTATGTTGTCTTGGATTGAGAACTCGAGGACATTTCAGAAACAAGAACTTAATGGGCGCAAACTATCGATTAAGTTTCTAAAATTTAATGTGTTATGTCTTATTCTGCTCGATCTATCGACTTTCATTCTATCTAGTGTATGAAGACAGTTCTAATAATGCTGCGCGTCCACGCTTCGTATTTTCAAAACACAGCATCCGTACAAAACAGGCTATCAGTGAATAAATGGTAGGACAAGTCACTCGACATTTTTTACGCGTTATTAAAGCAGAGTCCTGTATATTTAAGTAAGTAGCTGCGTCAGCATGCGTAGGCTGCATTCTAACAACCTGAACCTCCTATCACTGGACATGAAAGGAACTTCAGCACAAAGCAAACTCTACTACGCTGAGATTATAGAAAGTGCCCAGCACTTTTATTCTCTGTCTGGGTTAAGAGTTAGTACATCAGGATGATGAATACATTGAATGAAGACAAATAGGATGCTCAGATTCACTCAAAGGATCCATCTATCCAATCATCAGATACACAGGGAGAGAGACGAGACACTACAACTGGGATGGAATGCCAGTCAATCACACAAAAGCACACAGTGACAATCTGGAGACACCAATTCACCTAGCCAGCATGTACTTGGAAAAGTGGGAGGTCGCTGTAACAACAAATAAAAACTCATACAAATTGAACGCGCAAACTCCACACAGACAGTGTATCAGGCTGCTGGTAGTGAACCTAGGATGCAAAAAGCTGTGCACAGAAGCACTAACCAATAGTCCAACCATAACAAAATAAGTATTGATAACATATCAAGAGACGCAGTGTTGGCAGATATCGGGTGAACATGATCTCCACAAATATTATCTCCATTTGAAATCAAAACCAGCCTCTACATAAACAGCCCCATCCAAAACTGTCCTACTTATTTCACAAAAAAGTATTTCTGTTTAAACTTATGTAAAACATTCTAACAAAAATAGTTTAAGTATTTTCAGATTTAAAAAAAAGCAGAGCATAAACACTACATTGTACTTATTCACATAACTATCAAACACTGGGTTGTCCACAAAGTACACTTTGAACATGATAATTTCACTTTGCCAATTTTCTTCTTAGTGTTCTGCATGATCATGGCTCTACACAGAGAGTGTTTCACTGAAGAGGAAAATCACATTAAAGCAAGCCTGTGTGGTTTTCTTTCTGTCCCTCTCTCAGTGGCTCTTTCTTTTCTTCTGCATGTTTGTGAAATTCAATAAATGTATGTTTTTGATGGTGAATATCTAGAGGTGCAAATCATTTCAAAGGGTCTGGCTTGAGAGAGCAAATTGGAAAATCTGAAAAGGGAAGACGTGTGTCATCTATACCAGACAGGGATAAATGTTTATATCTAAGGCTGAATATATTACAGTACATGTTGTGTGTAAGTCTAGGTTTCCTCAACAACAACAACTGACTCACATGATGTACAGTACGGTCTCTCCACATTCCCAAAGAAATGGTTAGAAACTCTATCTACAAATATGCTGATAACTCCCACTACATCTACAAACTCCATCTACAGATATGCTGATGACACTACAATCATTGGCTGAAGCGCCAGAAATGATGAGACGACCTACATGAATGAGGTCAGGAACCTGGTGCAGTGGTGCTCAGTGTCAGCAAAAGCCATCGGTTTTAGAAAGGTCATCGGTTTTAGAAAGCAGGGTGGGGACCACACCCCAATTCATGTCACTTGGGTAGCTATATGGTTAGATGGTTAGCAGCCTCGGCTTCCTGAGTACCTTCATTACTAATGATTTAATGTGCTCCCTTTATGTAACTGGAGCTACAAGGAAGGCACAACAGCTTCCTCAGACAGTTGAAAAAACAAATGGTCTGTCCTCACCACATTTTACAGGTGTGCTGTTGAGAGTGTGCTCACGTGGGAGATTACAGTGTTTTCTGGCAGCAGCTCGTTTTTTTGACTGAAAGGCGTTAGGTCAGCCCAGTCCATCAGTGGAGTACAGCTTCCCTCTGTTGTGGACATTTTTGCTGGCTGGGAGTATTGCTAAAGATAACAATCATCCTAGTTTCTCACTTTTATCTCCCCTACCCTCTGGTGAGCGTTGTAGGAGCATAAAGGCATGAACCTCCAGATTCAGAGACAGTTTTTTCCCAGCTTGCTGTCAGATTACTGAACTCAACCCCTAATACTGCCTAAACTCATCTACATTACTACACCCACATTTCTACTCACCCTGATGGTTTTTTTTCTCTTCTCACACTGCTTGTTTGACTTGCTTTTATAAAGTTGTACGTTACGTCACTTGTTGTTGTTGCTGTTGCTGTTCTGTGTTTATGTGTTGGTGATTCCTTTATGCCTCTGCATCAGAGCATACATGCAAATACAGTAAGCATTTCATTGCACTTGCGCACATGACACATAAACTGAACTGAACAGAAAATGGATGGATGGTTGTGTAACACAAACTAAATTTGTTACCTAAACACATTCATTCTTTCAGCAGGGATTCCTTTAAAAGAAATGGTGTTGTGTCTAATTATTTGTGGAATTGAACTGTACTGTATCAGTTCACCAGATTATATTGGTTTGGGTTTGTGTTGGCCAGGCATGGTGATGGAAGTTTGTTCCTAATTACACGTGTGCTGTCTGCTGCCAAGGGACACAATTCATTTGATTGCAGGTTTCAAACATTTTGGTCAGTGAGCATTTGTCATTGTGTCACTATACTGTACCTCAGTGCATTTCATTTCTGCACATTAGATGGGATTCTATCACACATTCAGTGTTTCCATAATAATTTTCAACATTACATGAACCTGTATACAAAGCATACTACAGATGAGTGAAAAAATTACATATTCCAGTAAGGAGTATGTAAAGAGGCAGATTAAAAGGGTCCCCTCCTTTATTTAAAATGGTAATTATTACTGGGTTAATGCAATTACCCATATTCCTGAATGAATATTTATTATAAATAATTCAGATTAAAGAAATAGAAAATGAAGGGATGAATCTTATCAGAAACAGCAATATTAATATTTGAAATCTTAGTTTCATTACTACAGATATTACAGTGGTACAGACTTACGTATTGCAATGCAAAAAGGAACGTGGACGGCCTCTCCTGAGATCAAATGTTCAATTTCTGTTGACGTGTTTCAGTATAATTGTACGTTAAATATGTGTGTGCATCTACACACGTAACAAAGGATTTAGAGCGGTCCTCCGATCCCCCTCCTTCTCGCGCTGGCTGAACTCTCCTCACAGACGGCTTCTCCTGTCCCATGATGCCGCGCGGGCTCCAGCCCCCACTGAGCCGCCATGTTGTTGGAGTGAAAGCTTGGACTCGGAGAGTTTTGGGGCTGAAATCCATTTCCATCCACCCGCTCCGCCTGTAAGTAGACCAACTGACTTGGGTCGCGGGTAGACTTTAACCTGTACTTTGTAAAACCTTTGGGTTATTGGCACGGTTTGGGGAGCCGGAGTCTTATTTTGGTGGATTTGAACCTGTGTCGTCCCCCCTCCCCTTCTCTTCCTCCCCTCGTATCTGTGTTTCTGCCCGGAGTGTTTGGGCCTCTATTGTTGTCGCTATTGCAAGATCAACCTAGCCTTTTGCGCAAGATAATAGTCAAAAACGCATTGTAGCAGTTATAAAAGCCGCGGAAGCGCCCGCTCCCGTTTCATGGGCGCTTGGTTTTATTTGTAAGTCTGATTTCTGTGCTAATTTGGTACTGGTTCCTGTCTGCAGAAGAGATAAGGCCATGTATTGTTGCCGGGGACGGGCTGAGACTAGAAAGGTACATAAAAAAAAAACAGTATACCCAATGCTCAAAGACTAATGGCAGGAAAAACCGGGCCTCTGAAGGTTTTCGTGCTGTTACAGGGTACTTTTGCACACAGGAGACAGCCTTTTAGTGTTTTGTTTTCTTAACCCGAACTGGGTTTGTTTATGCTCCTGGCAAAAGGGCTGCGTTTAATACAGGGACAGTTCGACTGAAACAAAAGCTTTAAAAGTGATGGATGCTTTATTGTGGCGCTGGGCTGGGAAGCGGCCACTATATCGTGGAGAGCTCTCGGCTGCCGGGGAGAGAGGCTGGCTTTTGCGGCTGTAGGCGCCTGTTGTGATTTCCGGGTGTTCAGTCCTGCCGCTGGTTCCCATCATACAGGACCGGCAGGGAATGGGCTCTGTGTGCAGCCCAGGCGAGGAAGTGGCGGCGGCTCTGACAGATGGAGATACAAAGGCTGGCATCGCATCAGTAGCTGGGATCCCATGCGTGGTCGTGGGGCTTTCGCAGAATATTTTCTCACTGTTGTATTTTTACACGTGCATTTTGGAGCACGCTTGATTGTGAAGATCGCTGTCAAAATATGCTTTCGATCAGGGTACGGTAACGGGTTTTTTTTTTTGCCTGCCCCCCTCCCTTCTTCTAACAAAAAAAAAAGTCAGCGCCGATGCGTTTGCATCTTCGGAGATGGAAACTCTCATTTTCCACCTGAACTTCCTGTGAGGTTCACAACTGAGCTGAGCCAACACGTTCCCTGCAGAACGGTTGACCATCGCCCTAGCCCTGTGGCTTCTGGTGTTATCTTGGCCCTGTAGGTCTTAGCTGAGCAGCTTTTCTTTAATAGCGTTTGATGTGACCTGTCAGTATGATTTTGTCTGTTTGGAAGTCACTGTCTCATAAAATAGGGCAAGTCAAAAATAAGTAAAGCACTTTAGCCCTGCACTTTTATCATCTTTATAAAAGACCAATGCAGTTCATTGCTTATAATCCTAAATGTTTGGTCAGAGTATTTCTTGGGTCTGTACTTGTCTGTGTCCAGTTTTCTTAGACAGACTCCAAGAAAAAAAAACTTGTTTTCGATTTTGTTTTGGGTCTCTCAAAATCTTCCACTTTGTAATGCGTCTCTGGCTTAGCTAAAGTGTGAAATACTGTGGTTTGTTGTATCACATGCCAGTGCTACCTGTTAGACAAAATTGGAAAATGTTCAGATTCTTGCCTTTTCAGTTTGAAATAAACTGATTTCTCAAGCCACTCTTAAGTAAGTTTAAATTATTTTGCTGGTGTTTGTTCATCTGTTTTTACATCCCAGAAAGAGATCTGCAGAATCCAGTAGTAAGTTGAAGGCACACTGTCACAACACGATTTACAAAAACCTGTACTGCTGCCTTCTGCAAAGTATGTCAATTCATGTTTTCTTGCATACACCTTTGAATTTCCTTACCTTCACATGATCAGTGGGTTGTTTCCTTACTGCATTTTCGTTTAAGGAGCGTTCGGACATTGACAGATTTTATCTTGCATCCAGTTCCTTGTGTAGTTCTATTTGAGTACTCTTGTACATTTTGTATTTTGCAGCAATTTACGTATACCTGGTAGGACCTTATATGTTGAGACCTTACATTTCCGTTTAGCTCTGTTTTGCTGCTCTTGCATTATGGTGTACTGTACTGCTTGTTTTTGTGCATTGCCTTACAGGAGTGATGTTTTTGATCATATGCACTTTGAGCCTGTGAACTTGTTCCCAGAAGTGTTAAGTGTGATTTACTTTAAATCAGATTGCTTGATATAGGCTAGATGTTAGTGTTTTTTTGTCCAGTGTTATTTTTTTAAATGACACTGTACTATCTGGTTTTTAACTTGGACTTGAATTCTCTTTTTGCTTTCCTGCTTTACCACTGTTCTTCGCAGGAATGCCACTGAGTCACACCTAGATATAAAGGGACTAGAGGACTAGTGCCACCGATTGTTCTCCCCAAGAGAATGCAAATATTTCGTAAGGTGCGGAAAGAGTACATTTGTTGCCCACGGTGGCATTTGGTTTCAGAGCTTCCAGGAATTTAGCGGCCGGACATTGACGGTAGTTTTAAATGATCTGAAATTCTTTAGATTATCTGTGGGTGGCAGTGATAGTGGTAACAGACGCACTCCCTGTGAAACGATTTCACTTGCTGAACATTTAAAATATCTGTAGGGCATGGCGTGAGTGGGCAGCTGCTTAACCTTGAGTTTTCTCTTGTTTTTTTTTTTACCTGTTTTAGAATTAGCCCTGCCCACTGCACTCTAATTCTAATTCGAATCATTGGACTTTTCGTGATGTCATTCCCCTTCTGTCTGCTGTCATGGCTATCACTCATACTTACAAGCCATTGTTTTTAAAGTGTGAGTGTTAGAGTTGGGAATATTGTAGCCTCCCAAGAGTCATGAAAGCAGTTGTTTAAATAGTTAATGAGTACGTCTCTCATTTTGGAACAAGTCCTCCATTGTATGAATATATGCAACTTGCAACAAAACTATAGAATTTCCTGCTCTGTTTTTTTGGTCATTTTTCATGATACACATTTTAAAACCATAAAAGTTATGCCTTACTGGAGCAAGAAGAATTTGGCCGCATTTTGAAATTAGCCCGTTTATGTACGTTAAGTTAAATGTTCACCTGCATGTGATTTGAACATTAATTTTTCTTGACCTTAAAAATTGTTGATTACCTTGTTTTTATATTACAATGAACAATATGGGTTTAGTGTATAAACTACACACATAAATCAGTTTATCATTAAAATAATATTTTTAAAGATCAAATATTTCAATTTGTGTGTTAAGATAATAGCAGTTTTGAGCTTACCAGCTAAAAACAAGCTCAGACAAATCAGTCAGTTACGAACGATTCAAAACTGAGAACAGAGTCATTAAAGTCTTGATGTTTCTTCCTATTTTACAGGCCGTTACTTTAAAGTTTTGAAGTAGAGTGGAGAAGTGTTGGTAGCCAGCTCAGATCTTTCTCTGCTGCATGCTTTCTAGCTATAGTGAAATTATTTTGGGGGTTTGCTGTGGCTGTTATAAGCTTTGTACCCTACATTTGCCCTGGGGTTGTAACATTTTTTTGTCTGTTTTGCGGAATGTAACTTCCTGGTGGGCACATCTTGGAGCACTTCACAGCAAGAAAAGGTAGAGCAGGGATGTAGGATCACAAAAGAGGGGAAAAATAGGGAAACATTTCATGGCTGAATTCCAAGGTGTTTCTTGCACCTATTCGTTGTATGACAGCAGATTGTGTTAGCAGTCTTTAAGAATTCCATGTGTGGCCTTTATTAGTGCTATTTCTGATCTTTGTTGTATATAGTACAGTTCTGCACTTCAAATACATCACATAGATTGTGGTTAGTTTTATTTCAAACATGTTTTTAGAAATCAAAATGCACAGTCTGCTTTTTTGGTATCAGGTAGAAACACTATTTAAGCTTGAAAGCTTAAAATTCTTTTCTGTAAAAAAGATTTCTCATTAGTTCTATTAGTTAAAAAACAAATAACACCTTCATCAACATATCTTTCTTTTGGCATGAGTTCCATGGAGACATTTATTTCAGATCTGAAGGAGCTGAAGACCTAAAAAGAAATATGTTGTTGTGTTTTTATCTTGCATGCAAGCAGCACCAGAGTAGAATCTATTGTAGCTGGCCTGCTTAATGTTATCATTCAAAATCCATGCTCGATGGGAGAAGGTAAGTTACTTTTCATCTTAAAATTGTTTATCCCATTGGGAACTGGAAGCTAAACTTAAGATGTGAATATAAATCAATTTATCTGTAAAAGGAGCTTTGAGCTGTTGTAAATGGGTTTGAATTCAAGGCTGATCTTCGAGTGGAATGAGTTGGAATAAATTTGTTCTTGGCGTCTTGTGGGCCTAACATTGAGGGCTTGTAGGAGGGATGTAAAAGAGTGAGCTTTGGTTAAAAGATGGACTGTTCTCAAACAGATTTGGCAAATATGTTCCATGACACACTTGCTGTGGTTTAATTTTTGAAGTGCTATGATAGTGACCAGTTCCAAGTCTCTCAAACTGCTATTATGAATAACAAGAATAACACAAGCACCAAACGATATTTTTCTGTTTATTCCATGTGGTAAATGTTTTAATTGGTTTAGCTCTTAAGTTTTTTCTTTATAAAAAAATAAAAAGTATGTGACCTCTGATTTTCCTGTTACTTAGTCTTACTTGCAGCCTTTCTTATTGATTTACATGGGGGTGTTATTTTTTAATTGTTCATTAGGTTTGGTCTGCATGAAAGGGGGGATCAATTTCAAACTGTTTGCACCAGGTGTGTCCAATTGTGGACATGCAGGCCTGTAGTGTCATCATGTTTTCATTCCAACCTAGCTCTTAACATAAATCAGCCCATTATTGACATCTGATCAATATACCAATATATCCCGGCTCAGCGGGTGCCTGAATTGGGATCTCCATGGCTTCATTGTTCTCAGTTGTAATCGGGATTCTCTCATATCAGTTTGGACTTCACCTGTATAAAAAATATATGCAGTTAAACTGGAGATGGTAACTCTCATGTGCACAAGTTAAACTACAGAAGGAGTGAAAAACTGTTGACAGCAT